CATATTAATGACTTATCAGCTAAAAGCATACATAAATATGCCTAAATTTTAGCTGAAATGAAAATTTTTTACCTGTCAATACTTAAGAAAACTACTTTAAATATTCACAACGATATTTCAAAAAGAAATGTATGAAGTTAATATGTTTTTCTGAAGATTTTTTCAATTATCACTGAAATTGATGTTTTAATTTTAATAAAAACTGTAACATTTCAACTATTAAATATTTTTAAAAATTCAATCAGTAAAGTATAAAAATTCAAATTTATTCTTGTTTTTTAAATTTTATTTTTTAAAAGATTTTATCTATAGTTTATAGACCAATAATTGGATAGTTCTAAAATAATAAAGAACTATTTAATAACATATTTAAATGCCATTTTGAATATAAGTCTTGAAAAAAAATATAACTATGTTCTGAAAAACCAGTTTGAAAAGAGTTTTAGCCATATATGTTACTTAAGTGTTTATATTGAGAAAAGAATTATTGACTGTTAAAATTTGCATTTTAATTCCTCATTTACTTGTAACATTTTTTCATAAATCCCGTTTTAGATGAAAAATATGTATGGCGCATATTAATTTCCTATGGTTAATTTACAAATTCAATTTTTTTAAATGGATAAGTATTTATGAATTATTTAATTGGAAAAAACTTTAAAAAAAACTGTTTATAAAAATTATAAACACTTTAATCTAACCACTCAATCAAAAATACTGAAAAAGAATTTTTGTTCGCTAGTCTTTCATGTTGATTTATTATTATTTGCTAGACATTTTTAATGTGTCAAAACTGACTGCAAATTCTACTAGGTAAAAAAATTGTTTGTCTTTTTTAAAAAAAACGTAAACAATTATTTTTTTAGAGAAAGTTTATGTTTTATTGACCATATACATTAGAGTATAACTTTTAGTTACTAGCAATGCAATTCAATATAATTTTTTTAAAGGTTTTAAGTTATTTCTTTTATTTTTAAATAATTTTTTCAAACAAATTATGAGGAATCATGAGTTGCAATAGAACATTTAAGTTCAAGCTTTATAAATAAAATAGTTCTTAATAATGGAACTATTACTTATTTTTACGCCAAATATAAATTCATTTAAGAACTTACAATAATATATTAACCCTTTTTATATATTTACCGAAAAATATTTTCCGAAATAAAATATTTTCTGAGTCACCATTCTTAAAAATAAGTGCTCATTCCTGACTTTAATCAATGTTTTTTTTAATTATTCCTGACCGGAACATCTGCTCCTGCACCCCAGAGCCCAATGTCAAGAAAACTGAGATAGGCACAGTGGGCCTTGGCCCTCTGTGGGCTGTCGCTCTACTGAGTTAAGTAGTTTAGTTTTTTTTTTATTAATTATTATCTTTGCATCAAGGTTATTTATGCTAAATAACCTAAGCTTCGTTACAACTAATATTTTCTGAAACCAGTGAATTTAATCTGTTAGAATTTTCAAATTATTTTATTTCCAGCTATATTTTTTTAATTTAAAAGAAAACAAATTTAATAGTTTTTTTTTCTTAAATTAAATAATCAGAAGTAGATTTTAAATTTAAAAAGAAACGTGACTTTGATGCAAAAATGCCCTATGTAGAACCTTTTTTTATTATTATTGTAAAATAACTTCAAAAAATCAAAGGTCAAAACACTAACAAAATGTAGGACAGTAACAAGTCTCGCAGTCTAAAAAACAGTTACCTCTATCCAAATTTTCAAAATACATTGTGAAAAAACATTACCATCAGAAAGGTTAAAAACATTTTACTTGTTAACACGCAAGGTCAAGTGATAAGTTCACCTTTTCTTTCCTCCATCTAGCACGCTAAGGTGAATGAAATGTAGGATTCTCAATAAAGTTTGTTCACCATATTTTTTATTTGAAATTTATAATTACGAAAAAATCAAGTTCTGACATAGTTCATTATTTGATTTATCAATTATACTTTAGCAGCTGCTTCTATTTTAGGAATAAAATAAAAAATCTTGCTCGCTGAAAACCCGATTTTCACATTTCACTTAAAACCCACGTATGAATAATGACATAAAAACATGCATACAGTTCGAAGGTAACATGAGTGAAATAATAGTAGTTAATCTAAATACTGATGTTCACAAAAGTATAAAAATAGCAATTTAGTCTAAAAATAGTTTTATTTAATTAATTTTCCATCAATAGAAATATTAAAGAAATTAAAGCTACTTTAAAAACAGGAGATGAAATGATATAAAATTATTTAAGTCATTAAGTTATTATATATTATAAAATTACTAAGTCATTATATGTGTTATTAAGTATGATATATATTATTAAGTATTATATAGATTATTAAGTATTGAATATATTATTAAGTATTATATATANTTATTAAATTTAAGTTATTATCTATCATGAAATTATTGTGTTATTATATATATTATTAAGTATTACATGTATTATACATATTATTAAGTTATTATATATTATAAGATTACTACGGATTTTTTTTTAAATTATTATGTTCAATAAATATGTAAAACTAAGGAAACAAAACCTAAAAATTACGTTGCTAACAAATCTGAAAACTATTTACTTTAATGTATTTCAATTTTGAGTTAAGGTTTTGGTTTATGTTACTAAACAAAAGATAATTATTTTAAATTTTTCTGAATTATTTTGAATTTTTAATGGAAATGAATTAAAAGCTTTTTGAGACATAGTTAGAAATAGAAGCATTGATTTGTGTTTGCATCATAATCTTGATACTTTTAAACTATATTATCAGCAATTTTAATAAGATTTTAAGTTGCGTCATGTTCCATAAAAAATTCATATGGTTTTATATGGTCGAATAATCAAGTATCGAAATAAAACTTTTAACAACGGCAATAAAATGAATGGACATTAAAGACTTAATCACTTAAAACAAACTTTTTCATCGAATGACAGAGATTTTAACAGCCTTAACATAATTTACCCAGCACGACAGTGTTGCGAATTAGTAAACTTTTACTGCCTCTATCCCTGAGAAAGTAGATTTGATAACAATCTACCCATTTCTATTATACAGCTTTTTTAGGCTTTTTTTTTCAACCATAAGAGGTGTTTTCTTCTGGCGTTATTTACAATATTTTACATTTAAGGTTTAAACAACTAAAGTATTTAATGAACATTGCTTTTAGATTTTAAACAGCTTAAAAACTATTTTCTCTTAATTCTTGTTTATATTTATTTGCTATTTAAAATACGTGCACTTTTTCATCTACCAAATTAGCTAAATTATAGTGGGAACAACAATTCATTATTTCAAAATATCACAATATCTTAGAATTTTCTTAGATTTGTTTAGAAAAACTAGCAAATATGCACTGAAAATTTTATACGAAAGTAGTGAATAAAATAGAAAATGATACATTTTAAACAATTTCAGATTTTTTTCGAAATTTTTGCTTGTAAAACTTCGATAATGCAAATTTAGCTTTATTTATTTTATCATGACTATCATTTATAAGAAACTAATAATTATTTTACTACAACATTTAATCATTAATATTAATGTGAATTAATCACGCATAAATTATGATTAATCACATATGATAATGTTTAGATTATGCTTATTTTAAACTTTATGCTTATATTTTTACAAAATTTGAACTGTATTTTTTTTAAAAAATTAATGAAATAAATACAGCAATCTAAACGTGTGTATTATCAAAAGATTCACAAATGCCTAGTCTCTGGAGGCATATGCTAATATCTAGATTCATAATTTCTTCAATTTTCGTTCGATTTTCATGAAATTTTGAAAACTCTGTGTGTTAGTTTTTTACATGTTAGATTGTAAAAGTATTATATTTATAACCAAGGACAGACGGGAGAAAAAGTATTGAAAACAGGATTTATCATTCATAATCGAAAACAGTAAACGTTGTCAGAAACTCTTCTAAAGTATAAAAGTGATAGCATTAATAATAAAGGCAGTAAAATGTTTTGCCCATACCGGATTCAAATTGAAAAAGTAACAGACTTCGTTAGTATAAAAATGTTATCAAAGTAAGTCAACGAATATGCCACCCATTTGCTTGTCAATACCTCATCATAAACTGTATCTTTTTTATTATTATGAGCTCCAATCCAATTTAAATACTCAACTTAGTAACGTGATAATCATAAAAAAAAATGTTGTATTTAATTCACTCAATTAAAAATAATTATAATGTAAAAATTGTGCTAGTAACATTTCAAGCATACTTCTCAATAAGATCTCTAACAAAAAATGATTTTCCGGTTTAAAACAGACAGTAATTTGATTCGTTTATGCAAACTCTTAAATTTTTTTTTAATTTCAATGTTATGTTAAAAGATTTATAAAAAAATTCTTTATTAAGAATTTTTACTTTTATAGAATTTTAGAATGATGTTGACTCCTAATATTGCGTTTGCGGTTATTAGCTCCTAATATTTAGAAAAGCTTAGCGTTTGCACTTCTTGTAAGCAGCTTGCTACATTTAGCTTTTAAATTCTGTACAACTTGCATTCAAAGTAATAAGTAAAATAACATTTTAAAGAGTGCAAACATTCTTTAGTATCTGCTTTTTGAAATCCTTTTCCAATTACAATTTTTGTCTTACCTGTTGCATGAAATACGATATGTATATGAGTAGTTTGGGTAACAAATTAAGTAGGCCTTAAGATATGCAAAACTTGAAAACTCAATTTAATATGCTTTTGAAGAAAACATGAATCCAAAGTTTTCCTAATCTTCAACATTAAGAGAAAATGACCTAAACAATACACTAAAAAACGCTGACAAATGGTTTAGGTACTTGATTCTTTAATGTAGCACACCCTTGTAGCTAAATTTTCCGTCATTTTTATATTTAGATCATAAGTAATCTATATATTTCACATTTATTTTTTATAAAAAATTTAACTCAGACTTTTTTATATAAATTCATGCAAGTAAAGAAAGGTTTCAGACATGGGGAAAATTAAATAAAGCTTCCTACCTGTAGCAATAAGTGCAAAAACACCAACAATCCACAAAGTATTCATCATCCTGTTCATCTCAGATGCTCACCTGTTGGTAGAATAACGGAGAATGATGAAGCATTGGGATCATCCCTGCCTTTTCATTCGACTCCACCTGTTGGACCACTTTGACAAGCACATTCTGAACGGTTTTCGGCCCCAAATAATTCCCATTTCTCTTGGTGTTCACTCAAGAGTTTACAAACACGCTAATATCTTCTTCTTTTTTTTCTTTTGATAATTGCATTGTTTGAGAAGGTGTTTCTTATCGTGTTGTTTTAACCCTCTTCGACGACATACAACATTATTCTATCATTTTCAAAAGTTTAAGATAATGAATTTTAAATTTAAACTCTTTAGAAAATTATTTTAGAACTTTATTACCATCTCGTGCTTGTAAACAATGTTGATTAAAAATGTGCATACTCAAAATATAAGTTAATAATTAAAGAAATATAAGTTATAAATGTTTATTTTGAAAGTAGCTCTATTTTATCTAACCCTAAATATATTTATTGCAAATTTCAGTAGAACAAGCGTCTTACTGCAAATTTATGTACTATAATTAAATCAAAAACAAGAACTTTGACATAATTAGATGAAAAATTAACTCTTTGACATAATTATAAGAAAAATTAATTCGAGCTAAAAAAACATCAAAATTTATAGTGATGCAAATTATCCATGTAATGTCTAAAAAAGAAAAAAGAAAGCTAGCTGTAATTAAAATCAAAATTTTTCCCTCTGTCTCATATAAATTTAAATAAAACCATTGTAAATTTAACTTCCCTTCTAATTTTTGTTCAAAAAGACAAACTATTAAAAAAATTTAAATTTTACTTTCTTAATTTTAATATATACGGAGCCCCAGTTAGCTACCGTTAAAATGATATTATCCTCTTTAGAGCGATTGATGATACTTTTTCCATGTAAAAGAAACAAGTAAAGTTTCAGTGTGCGTTTAGAACTAGTACAGAAGGGATGTTTTATGGATCCGTGTGACCAAAAGCGAAATTTATTGTTCTTGGTGGACTATTTATTTTATTTTTTAGTTATTAAATCTTCTTTTGGTTATTTACTATTTCCCTGAACTTACCCGTATCATGTTTCCCAAATAAGTATATAAATCCATTTAATATAAACTTTTTATTTTTCTAATAATATTAAAGTAATGAAGCAATTATTTTATTCTTTTTGAATTTATTTTTATATTTCAAGTGTTCGGCTTTTCAGATTCTTTAAATTTTCTCAAATTTCCCATTACACTGCACTACAAATATTCCCTACTTCATATTAATTTTCGGTAAATAGTTTGTAACTTAATTGGTTGGCACTATTCTATAATTAAATGTGTTTTTTTTTTATACACTAAGAAAAATATATGATCAAAACTAAAAGAATATGGTAAAATTTGGCATGTTTCCGGCAATATAGGAACACCAAAAAGATCGGTAGTTTTTACCGAAGCTCTTTGGTGATGATTTTAGTGAAAAACAACAATAAAATGAATGTGAATTTATAATATGTGATAGAGTCTGGTAAATGTAAGCAAATTTGGTTGTTTTATCATGGCATCTTAGGCATGGTATGAAAACCATTTATTCGGTTAAATTTAGTTTTCAGTTTTGTATTTCTTACTAAACGTGAGATAATAATAACTATGATTTTGAAAACCAGTATTTACGGTTATTTTACCAAATTTTTTTCTCCGTGTAATGTTATGGAAAAACTCTGGTCTCAAAAACATTGGTTCTACATTGAACCATATTCATAATATTAATGATGTCAACTTGGTGTAAACTTAATGAGGTTTTTGATGAAGCCATGTTTTCGTTCTAGTTGAAACACATTATCATGCAATCAACTTTAGGAAATACGATAGATAATGATACGATTAATTAACTTCAAACCATGTACTAAAATTTTCAATCTTATATTACTATAAAACAACCAACAGCAGTCTGTCGATCTAATTAACCGTAAAGTTTGCAGTAAAGTGCGTTTTTTACTGTTACATTCTTGAAACCGTTTACAACTAGTATGGTATAAAAACTATAACTACAAACTATATGGGTTTTTTTACCATTTACAACTGGCATGGTTTCAAAACCATAAAAAAGAAATGGCTTTATGGTGCTGCCATCCAGCCATCTATACATGAGTGAAAGTATCGTTTTCTAATAATTCACAAATGGAGGAGTACAGGACACCCGAAACACTCCATGTACAGAAATGAAAGGAGAAATAAAGTGGTGTCAACACTGGGACTCGAACCCGCACTGTCTCGTTTAGGAGATTAACAGTTTAACCCTCTCAGTTATATTATGCAACCAGCTGTAAGGAATTAAATGACTTCATTAAGTGCGCCTAATTGGTGGGATAAATTCTGATTGTTTAACCGTATTAGGTGGAAGCAGTTAATAAACTGTTTTTCTGATAATTAACAGTTTGAATTCTATCTTATTTATGGTTATTTAACTGTTTTGTTTTAATGTGTTAAAATAGCAATTAAAAGAATTTTTATTTAACCATTTTCTCTGAGAAATTTTTAACACAGTGTAATAAAGTAGCTGAAAATTCGAACGATATTATGATTCAACATGCTAAAAATTTTTCAACTATTCATATTTTTTTTAAAGAAATGTGATTGTTGCATCCTTCAGAATTTATTTAATTTACAAATTAATAATTACGATATAGCTTTTTACCCAAAACTTTCTTAATGAGCCACGTATTAGCAAAAAAATAATGTGTTTTTACTACGAAAAATAACGCTATTTTTTGAGTGAATGCACTAAAATTGTAGGAACTCGAAATCATTTTGTCATTTTCAATTTTTCATTTTTGAATATAATGAGGCATACGACGCTCTAAAAAAATTAACTCAACGGGTAGCCATAATACGGTGAAAATGTGCTTCAAACTTAATAAAGAGTTCAAAATAAACCACAGTACCATGCCTCAACTTTGAATCATATTAAAATAGCTGAAAAATTGTACGTTAGAATTGTTCAACACGCTTCGAAATTTCTAAAAATGTGCACTGTAAAAAATTTCGCCTCAAATTACGGTATAAAGTACCGGCAGTTTGGATGCATCATCAGTAAAATTCATTTTATTGTAAAATAAATTTTTAACGAAAAATAAATTTTTTCCGTAAAATGCATTTTTACTGTGAAATGTATTTTTCCCTGTAAAATTCATTTTTTCCGGTAAGAAAAAAAACTTAACGATAAAAAGTATTGGCAGACTGAATGCCAGTGTTTTCAACAGGAATTGGACCCGGAATTTCTTACAGTGTAAGAAGTAAAATACATTTCACAAACCAGGTTATATTAAATCAATAGTTTGTAAATTATGCGAAATTTCAAACCTAATTTTAACGTCTATGAAATAAGAATACGAAGTTTTCTATACTTAAAGACAAGATCGAAAAAGTGTAGTGGTGTAAGTCAAAAAACCAACAATCTGTGAAGAATGAGGTTAAAGTAACATATTATTTTTTTATGACAATCCAAGCTATTACCGTTGATAAATCTTCAATATGATTTTTAAGATTTATGTTTACCTCCTGTGAATTCATCAACTGCGATCATGCGAAAAATCAGTGATTTTGTATTAAAAAAAACTGTTTCAACATTTTTTTTCCTTACACTTATGACAGTAGATTTCTGTTTCAAAATAGCTATTAAAGAAGACATTCAGATCAAACTTAATCAGTAATTTTATTTATGTTTTCAATCTTTAATACCGGAACACATTTTAGAATTTTGAACACTATTGAAGTCCTTATTCTGCTTTTAAATTAACTGATAATCTTTTAAAAACAAGAATATCATTAATCACAACTTATAAGAATTTAACAAGTAGTTTTGTGAGATTTAAGATATTATTTAACAAAATTTCTAATGCTTTTTAGGATTTCATATCAAAAGAAAATAAATTTTCCTTTTATGAATTTGAACCTTATTTTATTATTACACTTAAAATATATTGCACAAATAGAACAACCATTAACATAACGAACTCAATTAAAATTATGTAGTAAATTTGATATTTCAATGCAGTGGGGTGTAATTACACTGTAAAAAAATTCCGAATCAAATTACGGTATAAAATACCAGTAACAGCCCTTTGATTTCATCATCCGTAAAATCCATTACTACTTCAAATTCCAATTTTACTGTAAAATATTGTACCGTAATTTTTACACTAATATTTATTTGATTGGAGTGATTCAGTAATTTTACGGTAAAATATTACTGTAAAAATTATGGTATATGAGATTTCGTAACATGTTCCAGTAAAAATGGATTTTACGGTAAGCAGTACCAGAAAGTACTGGCACCCTGAAAGCCGCTTATTTTTACAGTAATTTGATCTGAAATTTTTTACTGTATAGATTAGAAGAAGTGCACTATAAATTGTGATCAAACTTTGTATTTTATTAAAATTTTACTTTGTTATTTTGGAACTAGGGCTGGTATAGGACTCGATTAAAAGTGATGGAGGCCCTAGACGAAGTGCTGATTTGGGCGCCTTCAATTACTGATTGTCTTCTAAAAGATCTTGAAAAAAAGCATGTAAAACAAAAAAACATCTAAGCAATTTTTTGCTCCTTTCTTTGAATTTTTACATTTAATATTATGTAAAAATATAGAAAATAGTAAAGTTCGTAAATTATTCATTTTTTGCAGGGCAGCTCAATAAATTATTAATTATTAGTAATAATTCATTTAGTAATAATCATTAGTTATAATCAATAGTTTAGTAATAATCAATATTTAGTAAAATTTGTATTGTTTATAATTCAATAAAAAATATCTACATCAATCTAGAATGAGCTTAAAATCTGTTCATTTTATAAAATAATTGACAGGTAAAAAAATCAATATTTGCGACTTAAATACAATTAAATTATGATTGATTTAACTTAGTCAGATACGAATTCTCATAAGGCAACCAGTTACACATTAAAAAGAGCTTTTTTTTAAAAAAATTGTGTAAGAAATCATTAAATTTAAAAATATAAAACCTTGAAGACTGAATGTCCTGCAATGAGATTTGAAAATCCTTAGAAAGAAAGTTATGTGATAATCAGGGCCTGGATATAAAGTTTTTGAGTTGCGTCAGTGC